CCCATGAAAAATTTCCATGTTGCTGATTAATTAGTTAATGCTTGCAATGGGGCAAGATGAGGAAAAATGCTAAGCATTACTATCATTTTGGTATATACTGCAGGTCTATGTAGTTCTTCAAAGAGATAAAAAGCAAATTGTAGAAATACACATTTATCTCTTGTAAGACATTTCTTAAAAATCATGTTCTATAAAGCAGATAATTGTTATAATGATTTTGAAGTTGATTTAAACTTATATGTGTCTTTCATCTCTGTAAAATGAACTCTAACAATACTGACACACACAACTTCCTTGTCTACACTGTCGGCCTTCTGGAAGAGACGGTTTCCAAATGAAAGATGTCGTCTTCTCTTGGGAATTATTAATGGCAGTGTAATCCCCATGAGAAAACATACTTCAGCTTTACACCCATGTTGGTGTGTGGTTAATTGCCGCACCAGCATCCTGGGCACTCAATCCATCGTACATTACACTGCGAGGACAGTATTAACACATAACATTCCAATATATCTTCAGCTCTCCACATCAGCCCCTGATAATAGCATCTGTTAACATGCACTAAGTACTATTATGTAGCACATCACTTCATAAATAATAAGATTAGCCGACCTCAGGGCCCTGGGAAGAGTAATGTGTTTAAATGTTCTCATTATTTATTTAAAACAAGAATTAAAGGAACAGAAGCTACTTGTGACAATCCTCTTAGCATAAATATTAAACTGTTTGCATTGATAAGCTGCACTGTACAGAATAACAGAGGATTTGTTTTGCTGGCTGCTTTATAATAGTTGTTAGAGCAAATGCAGTTTGTGTATGAGTTCTGAGAGGTACTTAACTGATTGTGCCATCATGTTCTGAAGACATTTTCCAAATTATATAAAGGAATGGGAGAAAATTAATATGCAGGGGAAGCTGAAACTAATTACAGCATAACTCTATAAGGCTTTAAAAATCTTGCTTTATTTTCTGTCTTGGCACAAAATAATACGCTCAATTTGCTGGGTAGTATAAGATATTCCAGTTTAAGCATTTCAGTCTAGAAGTGCCTAAATTAACCATGTAGAGATTATTGCAGATGACAAATCAAGATGCTCAGCCAGTAAATACTGCAGGCATGTTACATGGTCTGCAAAACTGAGTTTACAGTGATAAACATTCTCTCTCACACACATCTGCTATTAACAACGCAGATTGCACTGAGAGGGAAAACCTACCAACTTGTAGCTTCTTCACCATTTCAGAGCCCTTCTTTGACCTTTCATGTCTCTTTTCCCCCTCGCTCTCTCACACAAATGGATTGGCCAGCTTTTCCCTCACATTTGGGGTCTGGGCACTTGCGTTGCTGTAAATGTGGCAGGATTCCCAGCGATGCTGTGACTGGACAGCCCATGAACAGCTATTCTCATTGCTACTTTCCTTTCTTTATTTTTCTTACTAGCAGAGCCATCTCTGAAAGGTCACCCCACAACTAAGCATGTGCCTGAACTTCCAGGCAATCATGTGCTTGGGAAGTCTTAGCCACATCACATTCCATGTGGGGGATTAGAGGATGGAAGTGCATCAGGTCCTTGGACTTCTGTGCAAGTCTGGTGACAGAAACGCATCAGTGTATTGCAAAAGTATAAAAAGGGGGAAAGCAGTCCCATAGTATTCCAAGTTCTAAAATCCCACAGCTCCTTTGTCTTTCTGTCCAGGATCTCTATTGCTTTGTTTTGTGTCACTAGCAAGAACAGCCCAGAACGTTACATTTTTACATTTTGAGAGTCACCTATTTTGACCAAAATTACAATCCCTGTGCCGGATCCGCTGACATCAAAGTCAACTCAAGTTGCTCGCATTTAAAGCTATGGGGCTGGGTTCTACGCAGTCATCGCTGCACCTGGCAGTTCATCAAGCAGTTCACCTGGATGACATCCACAAGCTTGAATGCAGTCATCCAAATACTTGCGTTCTGACTCAGGGTGAAAAACCAGTCCTTTCTAGATGAATATATTACTATTGATTTTAATAAACTTTTGTGGGAGAAATAGTTCCTACAACGGTCTTTAATTTGTAGCAGAGTAATGGACCTGAAGATCCTGCAATGGGATAGCAACATTTTTAACTGAAGCAGAACAATCAAAGGCACTTAAATAATTGCACAGAATTGTTTCTAATTCCTTTGTATCTGGGAAAAGACAGCTAACATAAATTAGCAATGATAACTCAGGATAAACAGAAATTCTATCTTTTCCCAGATACAAAAGAATTTATGAGGCTCCATGTGGGAAACACTGCAAACACTGAAGTACGGTGGTTGTGGAAAAGAACCAAGATTTATAATACTATAAGTTAATTAAAATATTATAGATCAACTAAAAACTATTATTTGAGTCAATAATGTCAAATCTTCAAAAGAAAGTAGATCTAATCTGTGTCTACTGTATGCACAAAATGTGCTAACACTGGACATAACACATGCTCTGAGATACAGAACAGATGCTAAATCAAGAGGCATCCTTCACACCTCGTTTGCAGCAGGAGAACAGAAAAACTGCCATGATATGTTTCAGAGCAATTTAGCTCCAACACCTTGATAATATATGTTCACCAACATATTATAGAAAGGATGATTTGTCTAATGATGTGCAGAATGCACAGAACTCCATGGTCCCTACTTTCTTGCTAAAAAAATCAAGACCTGTGCCAGTTTCAACTGAAAAAGCACATTTTTAAGGAACAATTAGGTACTGTTGTTCTCACTGTCTCTCCCCTGTAAATGTCATGGATTTTTGATCCCCTTTTTGACTATTTTTGCCACGTGGACTTTCCTCATTTATATTTAGCAACAGCTGGATACTAATACAAGTTCAACTAAGACACGACAAACATTTGGATGACTGTATGACTATTTGTATGACGACACATGACACTTTCCCTTGGAAGGTGGCTAATTCCACTGTGGGCAGGTGTACGTTCACTGAGACAGACACTTGCCTGGTTGAGGTCCCGTGGGCTGCACTGACATTTTGATGATTGGGGTGTCACCTACATTAGAGGACACTGATCACAATGCTAAAATTAACCAAGCTAGCTAAAGTGTGTGTTAATTATGAGTATGCAAGCAGTCAATAAAAGGTTAATGCAGAAGTCAAAGGATAAATTTATTTCAGTATTGCATCACTCTACTGACTAAATGACTAACATTATGCTTTGTTTTTAATCGATATATTTTACAGTAATGCGTGAGCCATTGATTTGAAAAACAGTCTTCTTTCTAACAGTTAAGTTTTGCAACTATTAAGTATCAAGTATCAATATACTGAAAGCACTCTTTTTTCAGAGCAGATTTTTTTTGTTCTGTCATCAGGAACAGGAATGCATAGAAGACAGGAGGTGGCCTTGGGTTCTGCTGATGAATGTGATTAATGCAAATAAGAATTATTACCTAGGAACCTAAATAAGCTGCTGTGAATTAGGATCCCTGGATTCTATTGCACTGTTTGTCTGCTCCACAGAAGTGTAGGCAAATCAGATCAATAGGGGTCAATTTGTGGCTCAGACTGCACCGGCATGTTAAGAGTGAGGAGATGATATGAATAGTCCAGTTTCCTAGATGGTACTAATTTAGCTGCCTACGCCTGGCAGTTCAAAGACCTATGGAGATCACGTGGAAGTTCATAAAGTAAGTGATGGAACATGGGTCTGGCCATCTTCCCCATGGACTGATACAGTGACAAAGGGAGGATGGGATATTTGCTCTGCATGTACAAAAGTCACACTCACCCATACACGCTTAGTCCATCATTCACGAAATTATTAGGTTTTACATGGGAGTTATTTCCTCCCTCTGTTCATGCTACAATAAAGGTGTTACTGAGCTGTTATTCAGAACTTCAGAGCATCTTTTAAAACAACGGCCCAGGTAAAAACAGCATTTGGATCACCCTACTAAGACAAATGCATTCATTAAACCGATACTGGCATTGGTTAAAATGATACAACACTGCTAACATGACGCTGTTCTGAGCAAGAGTAAGAGCAGCAGCTTCTTTAGACAGCATCTTCCATTCTGAAGATTCACAATGACTTTGCAAATTTGAGTCTGATCAAATATGGGTTATTACTGTTCCAACACAGA